GGGGTTCCTCGGGGCCGGGCGGGGAGCGGGGCCCTCGGGCAGGGTGGGGGGGCCGCACCGGGGCACGCCCGCTCCCTGGAGGTGTTCAAGGGCAGGTTGGATGAGGCTCGGAGCAATCTGGGTTAGTGGGAGGTGTCCTCGCCCATGCAGGGGGTTGGAATTAGATCTTTGAGGTTCCTTCCAACCCAAACCGGTCTGGGATCCTGAGGAACTAAAGTGGGTCGCAGGCAGGCGGTGTGAGCTGCGTCCGTGCCCTCAGCAGCAGGCAGGGAGCTTGCGCTTTAAATGTCCGCTGCTGGGAAAGCCGTCAGCGTGGGTTTATCCTCTTACCGCCCCTGAGGCTTCAAGCTCTTAATGTTTTTATTTTTTTTGTTTGTTTTCTGTGCTTATCTGCACAATACCGGTGTCACTGGTAGGGAACTGACACTAAAGGGTGAAGGGGGTGCCACAGGACTGGGAGGGCGGAGAGAATTGAAGCTTTCTTGCGAGTGGAACCTGATTTCGACTTCCCTTTCAAGAGCCTGATTCCCTTCTGCTTTTACTCTCTGCGAGTTTCACCCTTGGCTGAAGGCAGGTGTGGGAGGTCAGGCTCTGAAGGCCACCTCAATGCTCAGTGCTGTCAGTCCACTCCCACATCCCTTACTCAGGCTGATCTTCCTGGTATCTTAGGGAGATATTTCAGATGTTAATTTGCCCTATGAGAGACTGGGGTACGAGTACCCAGAGCAAAACCCACCCTCTGCTCAGCAGTAAGACTTCTCTTCTGTCTCTCACCACTTCTTTCTGCAAACCACTTGGAAAGTCTGTGCATGTTTGCAGCTTCCTCCTGTGAGCAGGTTTTGCCATCTGGAGCTGAGATCTGCTGTGCCAGCACAGGCTGGGAAAAATTTGTGTGAATCTTTTTGCAAAAGTTGTGCTGGGACGTGGAGACACGAGTGGGGGTTGTGGGGGGTGAGGCGCTGGGGGGTGGCTCTGCTGGAGCACCAGGTGGAGCAAGGAGCCTTGTTTCCTCCCACAGGGTGATAAATGCGGGGAAGAGCCAGCACAACGAGGACCAGGCGTGCTGTGAGGTGGTGTTTGTGGAGAGGAGGCCCAGCCCGAGGGCCCGGCTGCCGTCCCGGGAAGGCGGCAGGGACCTGGATGGGGTGAGAGCTGGTGGCACAGGCAGGGACACGACACGGAGGGTGCGTTGCTGCCTCCCTTGGGGTTCCCTCAGGTCTCAGACCAGCTGCTTCTGCTCCCTGCCAGCTCCTGCATCACCCTCACTGTCCCAGGGAGGCCACTGGCCTGTGTGCCCTGGTGGGCTGCAGAGGTGGCTGCCGTGCTGGCCCTGCCGTGCCCCCCTTTGGAGGAGCGGGCTGCCAGAGATGTGCTGCTGGCAGCACGAGGTGTCTGACGCAGGGCTGGGCTCGAGCCAGGGACCAGTCGTGTCCAGACACCCTTGACCAGCTGCCCATGCTGGTCTGGGACCTGTGAGCTGGAGGCAAAGCCCTGATTTGGAGGAGCTGGCTGCCAGAGATGTGCTGCTGGCAGCACGAGGTGTCTGACGCAGGGCTGGGCTCGAGCCAGGGACCAGTCGTGTCCAGACACCCTTGACCAGCTGCCCATGCTGGTCTGGGACCTGTGAGCTGGAGGCAAAGCCCTGAGTCACCATCCTCAGCTGGTGACCCCAGATGCTCTGAATTCCCCATCCCATCTGCTTCCTCACAAGCTTGCTGAACCTGCTTGTCTCTTCCCCACAGGGAAGGAAGGGTTTTTATTTCCACTACTGGGCCTTGTTTGATGGCCATGCAGGCAGTGGTGCTGCTGTCATGGCATCCAAGAAGCTGCACCTGCACATCTGTGAGCAGCTCCGGGACCTCGTGGACATCCTGCAGGACCCCTCTCCACCTCCCATCTGCCTTCCACCTGACACGAGGGCTGGCCCTGGGGAGCTGAGCCGGGTGTCCCTTGCAGAGGACGATGGGGAGGTCCCCAGTGATGCCATGCCACGGTTTCACCTGGAAAAAGTGGTCTCTCACGAGAGCCTGGTGATCGGCGCCATCGAGAATGCCTTTAAGCACATGGTGAGCATCCCCAGCTGCAGGGACCCCGGGCATTGCTGGGCAGTGTCCCTTTGCTGTCTGAGTCAGTGCTGGCTTCCCCCCCTGGTGAAAGGCAGCTCTGCAGTGAGGAGGGGGCTGCAAGAGGGTTCTGAGCAGGATGGTCTCGGAGAGGGTACTGTGATGCTCTGCCATGTTTTCGGGGTTCAGGACACAGAGGCCCTGGACCTGTGTGGGTGCAGAGGGATTCACTGCCCTTCATTCCAGCAGTCCCAGCTTCTCCTTCCCGCCTTGCTCTTTCCAGCCATGTCCCTGGCTGCCCCGCATGATCCCCAGACCCCCCAACCCTGCAGCCCTGGGAGCAGGATCTGGGCTTGTCTGGCAGTTGGGGTGCAGCTGCAGCAGTCGAGGTGGATCAGCCAGTTGCTATTTTGGGCTGGCAGCTCTCCTTGCTGGTGTGGGGCTGCCTGCCCTGCCTGAAGCCCCTCTGTATCTCCCCAGGACGAGCAGATTGAGCGGGAGCGGGTCCCCCAGCGCCTGTCCGGGGGCTGCTGTGCCCTGGCTGCCATCTACCTCATGGGCAAGTTCTACGTGGCCAACGCCGGCGACAGCAGGTACAGCCCTGCTGGGCACCCGCCTTTCTGCCCGTGAGCAGTGAGCTCCCCAGTAGAGCAGGGCAGTGTCAGAGGCATGTCTGTGGGGATCACCCTGCTCCATCCTCACCCTGGGCTGTCCTGGGGAGGGCAGAGGCAGCAGGACCAGGCAGAGCCACCCCCTCCCTGCCTGTGTGCCCTTCACATTTGCCCGGTGGACAGAGCAGGCTGCAGAATCACCTCCCCAAATCTGGGACTTGCTCCCTTCCTTCCCAGCAGCATCCCATCTGTTTCCCAAATGGCTCTGGATCAGACCCCAGCCCCTGCTGCCTGCACTGGCTTGGGCTGAGGTGCAGAGTGAAAATTGCCTTCAGCAAAGCTCTCAGAAACGTGCGAGAAATCATTTTAGAGAACTTTGTGAACTGTTTGGGGAGAAGGACATGGAAATCTGTGTGCAGAAGCATCCTGTGGGAGCTTGGACTCCAGGAGTTTTGACTGATGGAGGAATGTCCTTGGGTGCGTTGCTGTAGCTGCGCCTGGGTGTGTTCACACCCCCAAGCCATGGCTGGAAGCCAAGTCCACCTTATGCTGAGGTTGATATGTCCTGTGTTTGCTGCAGGGTGAGCTTGTCCCCCAGCAGTGCCAGCCAGCAAATACAGGCTCTGCAAATTGTCTTGAGGCTGGAGGACACACTTCCAGCTCTGGGTTAGAGGAGGACATCCTTTGTGCCTCCACATTTGGGTGCGGGGTCCTTCACTGCAGCAGCAGCCAGGCTGTGTGGGACGTGCATGCAGGGGGTCCCGAGGCTGTAACTGCCTCTGGGCGAGGGGCTGCCAGAGCTCAGCTCAGCCAGGCCCTGCAGGAGACCCACAGCCCTAGGCAGGACAGGGGGGACACAGCCAGGCCACCAGTGCTGGAGATCCTCAGTGCCCCCGTGACCTCCAGAAACATCTCATAATCAGACTTTTTTTTTTTTTCCACACATCAAACAATCAGACCAGCCCCAGCTGCTGTGCGGGTGGGGGCTGGGCACTTGCACGCGTCCTGCTGCTGGCCATGCTGCCTGTCCCTTCTGAATCTCCCCTCTAAAGCAGCATTCACCACCTTTGTGCTGCTCCTTCTCTAACCATATCCTGATCTTTGGTTTGCCCTGCTTCATTCCCCCCCCTTACCCCATGCTTCTCTTCCATTTTCTTTTCCTCCCCACCCAGTCCTGCCACCGCAGGGCTGGGAGGAGGGCAGGCAGCAGAAGGGAGGGGTTGCACCACTGCAGGCAATCAGCCCCAGAGAGACCCCATCCCCCCATCTCCTTTCTAATCTCATCCTTCCATCTTTCATTGCAGGGCCATTATCATCCGTAATGGGGAAATCATTCCAATGTCCAGGGAATTTACTCCAGAGACAGAGAGGCAGAGGCTGCAGTTTTTAGTAAGAAAGACCTTTCTTCTAACCCCATT